GACCCTGGAAGTCGATGCATTAGTGTGTCACGCAGTTATGATGAAATTACATCATATAGGAACTGTGATTTTTGGTACTTTCTACCCTCAGTTATACAGTCATCATTGTCCCTTTGTACTTTATCAGTTGCACTGCAAAAAAATGTTTTCTTAATCAGTAATTTTGTCTTTATTTACAGTAAAAATATTATAAAATAAATATAAATATAAAAATTTATTTTAGACATTCTCAAATTTAAACAGGTATTTACCATCATCTCTTGGAAAGCGAAAGCAGAACAAAGGTTTATTCTTTAAGGGGAAATCTACCTCTGTCCCTGGCTGTCATACAAGTACTGGACATTCCATGAGCAGAGTATTAAAGTGTCCAGAGCTCACCCGCAGGAGACAGGAGAGTCATACACGAGGAGCCTTTACAGTCACCGACAGCTGATAGTGAGAGATGCTGAAGTGATGGAAGGGAAGAGAGCGAGTGAGGGATGAGGGCCACTGCTGTGAGTGGTTCTTTGGCAGTGTCTTAGCTGGTTGTTGTGTGGAGTGAGAACGAAGCAATCAGCAAGTATACTGCCGCAGAAACTCGTCACCTTGGGAGGCCCATTCATCCGACCCCGCTCACGCACTCAGCTGCCCACCCGCGCTCAGAAGCTGGAGAGACACGAGAAAAGAAACCTCAGTCTGTACTCATTATCAAGCTTCTCTTCCCATTCATTCTTCTTCTAATTGTGAGTGTCAGCTTTTGTTTATTGGCACCGCTGCTTGAACACTCACAGCGACTTGAGATTTTCAAGTGAAAGACTGATTCATGCTTACAGTATGTTTGCTCATATTTTCCGTGACATTGTAGTCATAGTTTAGATCAATTCATTCGTTTTCTTTCTTTCTCTTCCTTGAGATCAGGAGTGATTCAGTCAAGTGTTATTGTGAAAATCAGCTGACTAGATTTCGCAGTTTCAGTATTGCCATGACATGGTGTGGCCTGTTTATATTTGGCCTACTTAGCTTACAGTCCTATGACATATTCATATTGTGTTATGATGTGTTTATTTAGAAATCTGCTAATGGACCAAAACATTAATCCTAATGATAAACCAAAAATACTTTTCATTCTGGTTTGAAAAAAATATGTAGAAAAAAGTATATAGGAAATGGAATATATATGGGGAAACAATATATATATAGAGAGAGAGAGAGAGAGAGAGTGTGTGTGTGTGTTTAATAACATTTTAAAACAATGTTTTGTAATATTTGTATAAATTAATATTTATTTGAAAAAGTTTTTAGTAGACTGTATTTTAATGGTAATTCTATATGAATGTATTTTTTTCCAAATAACAGTAAAAACAAAATAAGAGTTTTTCAAATGTTGTCATTATTTTTTTGTTGTTGTTTTATTTCTCTATTTCTGGTGTATGTTTAGTCTTTAAAGCGGTTTTAAGTTGAGTTTCATTTTCAGGTAATTTCATTAGTGTTGGGGTTTCAGGTTGTTAATCATCAAAAGGGCAGTTTGTTCAAATGAATGAAATACCTGTAACTCACTTGAGGTTTCGATGTAATAACATCAGTGTGGCAATAAGTTTGAACTTGTCCGGAAAGCTGGAAATCAATTTAGTAAGGTCTTTTACAATGTATTAAAGCACTTTGTTTTAAATCATACACTCTTAAACAATAAAGGTGCTTCACGATGCCATAGAAGAAACTTTTTGTTTAAATGGTTCCATAAAGAACCTTTAACATCTGAAGAACCTTTCTGTTTCACAAAAGGTTCTTTGTGGCGAAAAAAGGTTCTTCAGATTATAAAAAGGTAAGAAAGAAATGGTTCTTTAAAGAACCTTTGACTGAATGGTTCTTTGTGGAACCAAAAATGGTTCTTCTATGGCATCGCTTGAAGAACCTTTTGAAGCACCTTTATTTTTAAGAGTGTATGCTAAAAATGTGATTATAATGCTGTGCAGTGAGTGGAGTGTAGCCTTCACAAACTTATGATCGCAGGGTATGTTGAACACCTTATATATTTTTAAAGACCAATTATAGCAAATTAATCCAAATTAACTGTATGAATAACCTCAGATATTTGTAAGTTTAGTCACTTGCTAGATTGAATCTTAACAATGTCAATTATGTTTTTTTTATGCACAAAATGCATGATAAATGCATGGGGCAAACTCCCAACGATCGTCTCTTGTTGTTTCAGTTGTATGATTTTCCCAGACAACGGCAGACAGCATTTTGCATTTTATTCTAGTTTATCTCTAAAGTCTGGATTGTATTATGTCAGTTTAATTTACATGTATTATCTGTGATAACAGATCCAAATTGAACTTGAACATATCAGTATACAAAATATATGTTTTTACTTAGTCCTTCTCAAATATAATTTACATTGAATTACACAACATATAATACAATAAAATATATTACACAACATAATAATATGTATTTAAACATATATTATTCAACACATTTAAAATATAACGATTCCCTCTGCTGAAGGCTTCATCATTTATGCTCAATTTGAACAACCTTTAGGCTGCATCTTCACACCTTACTGGCAGAATTTGGGAATTCATTTAATTAATTATGGATGCATGGCAGAAGAATACAGAGTGCTGGTGTCAAATTTATGCTGGTGATGTCTGTCAAGCCTAAAGGTATTTTTGAGGGCAAAAAAGACACCTTTGCACTTTTTGTAATCATAAAACTCACACTGAGTAATGAGAATAAGAGACACTGAAATTCCTCTAAATAACACTCAATGCACAGCTCACAGAACTGAGGGGAAGAAAACGTAGGGTTGCCTTTAATGGAGGATCAAGCAAAGCATTGATTTTTCTTTTCTCTTCTCCACTTTCTTCTTCTCTGCCTGAAATAAAACGATGCACCACATTGGGACAGAATGCTGCAGTTCTACGGGAAACATTATTGCTTTACTGGTGACATTGTGATAAATGGAGATGCATTTACCTCAAATTAATCCTAGCCTAAATAATAGACCGTCATCACACTGGATGCTGAAATATAGGTTACTTTGTGTGTGTGTG